TCATGCAAAACAAAAGCGAAGCGATGTGGCATCACGATCTGACGTCACATCTTAATCCGCTGGCCGTTTAAGCTCCCGCGATGAAAAGGGAACATGGCGGATGCAATCCGAAGCTTTGGATCGATTTTTTCATAAAATCATTCATCGTCGATATAAATTATCGCTGTAAAATTGATCCATCCTATGTTAACATCAATACAAAAAATAGTTAAAATTAGCCTTGAGTTCCCCTTTTAAAGAGAAATGAATCATACGCTCGAAGCGAATTTACTTCTGGTGAGTAACATATTCTATTGATAATCTGCTAGCGTTCCATCACATCACAAATACCGTTCTCTTATCAGCCTCACTACGCACTATCTATTCTGTTGTAGAAAGTGAGTAGCCTAGCAGTGTAAGATTGTTAAGAAAATGGCGGCCGCTTCTTGGCGTTTTCGAAGCATGTTTGAAGAGTTAGATAAAGTTTTGAACGACTAGTATATCTATACTAAAACAACTTATAGATTATTCGCTCTCGATTTCTATCGCATGATAGTTGACGCGGGCTGCGCCATGGTGAACTATCACGCGATAGAAATCTCGAGCCTAATTGTTAAATAGCACGTTTTACTTATTAGTCTCGAACTGTGCAGATTTGGGAGTAACTTGAGAATCAGACCCGGAGTCGATGAATATAGAATAAGCTAAGTTTTGACAACACGCATTCACATGAGATTACTTATTTAGCAGATCGCGCTTAGAAAGATAGAGGAAGGCATGCTTAACTGTTGTTCAACGAAGAGTACATACAATTTTTGTCTCAGCTTTGTCTAACGACGAAAACTTAGTCCGTCGTGTACTACGGACCACGGTAGCGGCAAAATTTGGCGTGCATGGCACGGCAACACTGGGGGAGGAAAGATTGCGTGAAGGCACATGCAGGCAACCAGCAAGTTCAAGCTGGGCACGAAGATCATCTTGCGTAATCATAAAGGTCATGGCAAACATAGAGAACTTTATTTGGAGATACTTACGATCCGTAGAGTACGTTCAGAGCCACTTTAAATTTTCGAAAATTTAAGGTGGCTCTGCACCCACTCTACATAATGTTTTTAAACTTCGTAGTAAATTGCATTTTATATGCTTATCACAATGAATGATTTGCCTGTAATCGGATACCCGTGTTTGCGCAAAGAACTCTGGGATCGTCAGGGGGCAAACACTGCAAATCGCTAGAAGGAAATGTATAGCGAAAAGTTGTTTCTACGTCCAAAAACACGATTTTGGCGAAAGATCGACGCTTTTTCGCCGTCGTTTTATCGAAAAAGAATTTGGGCAGTGCTGATATGTGGAAAATGTAAGTTTTGTTTGAATAACCCCAAAATATGTGATTGCGAGACTCACCATTCGTCGCCCCTTACCTTTGCTCTGGGTAGCCTCTCGAAACACAAATTTTAAATATTCTATTCAATGTAAATTTTGCAGTAAACCTCACGCAAGTAAGGGAGGTTATCGGTAGCTTTTAATCACATATTTCACGGTTATTCAAATGAAAACTTACATTTTCCATGTATCAACATTGCCCAAATCCATTTTCGATCAAACAACGGTTAAAAAGCGTTGATCTCTCCCCAAAATCGGTTTTTTGGACGTCGAAACAACTTTTCGCTATACATTTCCTTCTAGCGACTTGCAATGTTTGCCCCCTGGCGATCCCAGAGTTCTTTGCGCATAACATG